ATTCCCCATGCTGGCTGGGGAATTCTGGGAGTTGAAGTCCACATGTCTTAAAGTGGCCAAGGTTGAGAAACGCTGATGTAGAGTAATCTGGTCAATGCATGGCCAGTCTTTCTACTGCATTTCTTTGCTTATGAACCCAAATACCTATTTTGTTTCTTAATAGCTTCTGAAATAAGAGAGGAAAAACTCCTAACCGCCAAACATCCTTCAAGGCCAAGTTGTGCTACTGATATCAGTCATGAATGTTTTTCTTTCCAGAAAGGACTTTTAACTGAATCTAACTAATTCTCTTGAATCTGGTACTATTACATTATGCGCTCTTAGACCTGACACCATTTTGCAACCATGTACAATATTCTACTATTTGAGTTTAGAAAGGCAAGGATGATCGCTGCGTTTGATATGTTTTAAAAAGAACTTGCTATCGGACTTCCACTTCTGTTTTGCTGGTTTAACTGTAATGCGCACAACTGCCATTTCATCTTACAACTAGAGTCTGCAAATATACAACATATATAAATACAATAATAATAATAACAATAATAATACATATGATACAGAACACAGCACTATCAATATTAAGGGTTGCAGTGTGACTCTTTACCTGCCTTTTGTAATAAGATAAAGGGATAAATGTTATTATGCACACAGAGACACACAAAACACTCTTCTTTAAAATGGATGTAGTACAATAAACAGCTGTATCTTCAGTTTGTGACACAAAATGAGTTTCAACCATAACCAGCCAATGGAAAACACACAGAAGACAAGAATACAGTTGTTGAATCTGTTTTGATGATGTTTAGGCAGTCTTTTCTTCATAAAGGACATGCATATACCCTCCATTCAGAACCTCTTATAACACAGACAGTGTTAACCAATGTTAATGGAAATCTTCGACATCTGCTTGGACTTTCTTTGCTATTACAGAAAATCTGAACTATTTAGCTGGAGATCCACTGTGATTTCACAAAGACAAAGGAGAAGTTATCAATCATCCATGTGTCTCAGCTAACACGCATGGACAACAAAAGTCTGTTCTCTTCACCAATCTGCACCACTAATGGTCCTGAAAACATGGGCCTTTTCTCAAACTTACATCATCCAACCCAATTTCCCCGGTTCTTCCTTTTCCTTTTTCTCCTTTAAAAATAACCTGAGAAAGGAAAAATTAAAAAATAAAGACAAATGAGATAGATTGGGTTCATGTATCATGTAAAGCTATTGTCTGCTTAATAAGCCACAATGGCTTTAGTCATATGTAACACTAAACTTTAAACCATGATTTATGAAACACAATTACATCCACACATTACGCTTAGCAATACTGTGCATTTTGGATAAGTTTAATGTGTGAACTTGACAATTTGAGTTTATAGACTGTAGTTCCTTTGGTTTATTATATGATCCATCTGGAGGTTGAGTCATGGCAACTGGACTTCTTTTCTTTTGGTCTGATACGTTTCGCTGCCCTTCCATAACACTTTTTTTTTAACAGGGGGAAAACTACAAAAAAACAAAAAAAAAAGACGTGGACACGTCCCCAACCCCCCA